AAAAAAAAAAAAAGAAAAACCAAGCAGGTATCTGCTGCTTGCCAGGAAGTGGACAGACTCTGGTCAGATGGCAGTGGCAAGGTGCCTCCCTCTGGCTGGGCTGATTTGGGGTCTAGGGACCGCCAGGTCGAGGCTGGGGACTTGAGAATTCTGCCGAGGAGCAGGTGGATGGGCGGGTCATTGAAACCTGCCATTCATTGGGTGGTGATGGGGACAGGGGAGGGGGCAGAAGGAGGAACCGAGACCCAGAGACCCCAGACCTGAAGCAGGAAGGTCACTGTGCCCACCCCACCCGCGGCAGCCGGGGAGGCCAAAGGTTGTGGCAGTCACCTGTCAGGTGTCCTGAGGTGAGGGTGGTCATCTATCCTGAGGCGACCTGGGCAGCACCTCACTGTCAACCTAGCTGTGCAGGTGAGGGGCCTCACCATCACCCAATGTATGGAGAGCTGTCCCCCTGGGGGCAGGGAAGGAATGTGCCAGCCAACCACATCCAGATCTCTGGGTGCTTGTTGGTCTCTGCCCACTGAAGACCCAACCTGAGCTTCTGCTCTCATCCCTGTCCTCCTGGACACCCGGCTTCATCACCTCCAGCAAAACCTTTTCCCATTTAGGTATTCCTCCCCAAATGAAGAATGGAAGCCATTTGTCTTATTTATTTATGTCTGTTATGTGCCCCATATGCTATATAAGTTAACCTTTTACAATAAAAAATTCAAAAAAATAGAATTCTCCCATCACTCTGGGAAGAAGGTCCTAAGAGTTCCTTTTCACAGGTGGAGAAACTGAGGCTCAAAGTGATGTGTCATGGTCACTCACCTTGTAGGTGGCAGTGCTAGGATGGGATATTTGCCCATTTGATACCAAAAACTGGGTGTTTTCTGTTCCTCCCCCACCACCTCCTGGCCTCCTGGCCCACTCTGTCACCCCGCAAGGAGGCACTGGGGAGGGCTGAGCAGACAGGGAGCTCACAGGCCTCAGAACCAAAGTCCCTGACAGCAAGAGGATGGTGGGTGGCAGTTACCAGAAGCCACGGGGCTGGCTGCGCCATCAGGCCAGGACTCTGGAGAGGCCCCCAACACGCTCCCCTTCTTGTCAAATCAGAAGAAAGTGAACTTTCAGGAAAAAAATGTTTTAATATATAACATTGATGTCTTCATTCGGTGGAGTCATAAAACATAATTACACGTGTGTGTGCTTGTGTGTGTGTTGTGTATGAAGTAGATGACAGGGGACTCATAATGGGGCCCTGGGAGGCTGCTGGGAGAACACTCCCACAGGCCTGAGGGCCCAGACTCAGCTGCCAGATGAAAGTGAGCTGCCTCCCTCACCGCTGACACGGGCTCCTGATAATAAGTAATATCTATTAATTATTAACCAAGTACCTGGCTTTCTATCCCCTAATCCTCACAACGTTTATTGTTCTCATTTTACAAAGGAGGAAATGGAACTTAGAGAGGTTAAGTAAATTGACCTCAGGTCACACAGCTCAGAGCAGGAGAATCAAGATTCCAGTCCTGTCCCAAATGACATTTGAGGAACCCCTCCTGAGTCTGGAATCTTCTGAAACTCTCTATTAATTTGTTTCTAGTGTATCCTGTGCCCATGCTTGTCCCCACCCCCCACCTTGATGTGGTCTTGCTAAGGCCTGGCTGTGTCTTACACTTTTCCTCCAGGCAGATGCTCAGTCCCATGCATTTGGTAAAGTTGCATGTGCTTGTGTTACCCTTAGGGAGACCCTGTGTGGCCAGCCAGGCCACGTCCCCTTGGGGCCCCGGAGGTACACACACTAGCAGCTTTGCTGTGGCTGCTCTTCACCACTGCCTCTGTGCAGCCTGGAGGCTTCGGTGAGGGCAGATCAGAAAGGGCCCATGACCAAGTCTGCCTCTATAGCCCCTTTATTCACGTAATACTGTCCTGTGAGCCAGGAACCAGACCCATAGGATGTCTCAAAAAATGTGATTTTTGAAGGCTGCATAATAGTTCACTTATGTTTTCATAGCATCATCCACTCAGCCAATCCTGTATTATTGATGTTTCACTTTGCAATTCTTCCCCAATGATGATGATCTGCTATTCAGTGATTCAATCAATAAATATTTATTATTTACTAAGTACTGAGAAGAAATTCCTGATCATCTAACTTGATTGATTAATCTTTATAAAAATCAATGTAGTAGCATGTCTGGAGATGTGTGGATTTTTTTTTGAAGGATTTATTTATTTATGCATACAAGAGATGGAGTACAGGCCAGAGATGTGGGGGCAGGGGGTGAGAGGACTCACCAGAGACAGAGTGGGGAAGAGAACAGGCAGATCAACTGAAGTACACTGCTGAGGGGAGCAGTGGGCGAGACAGGAGAGGTCTGCTGCGCCATGTGGGTAGCTCCCTGGCCAGCCAGGGATGGAACTTGTGTTGCGGAGGCTGCGATTGCTTCATGGTGCGGTGCTTAACTCCTTGCGCCACCAGGGAGGCCCATCCATAGGACTACTCTTAACACAATTTGTTTCCTTCTCCCAGAGCTAGGGGAAAAGCAGAGATGGAGATATAGACACAGATGGGGCTAGAGATCCAGAGAGATAGAACGCAGATAGAGGTAGAGATGGAGATACTGGTAGAGATACAGAGAGAGAGAGAGAGACATGGAAAGATACAGATATCCAGATAGAGAGGGAGAGTCTTTTTGTAATCCTTTTTATGATCAGCCTTCTCATAACCTAATCTCAAAAGTGACAACCGATCACTTCCAGTATATTCTAGTATCCTGTTCGCATCAAGTCTCTGTGTCCAGTTATCCAATGGTAAGACTCCCCAGGAGGGGGGATCCTCATGGGCCACCTCAGAGGCCGCCACCACTCAAAGGGGTTGGGTCATACTCCTGGAGGGCAAATATTCTTTTTTCGAGGTGAGGGCAGCACCACACGGAGGTTGTCCAAATTAGGTGTTGGTAGACAGGGCGGGCTCTGTTACTGACTAGTCATATAAGGCCTGGGGACCTTCTGTCCCCATTTGAAAATTGGATAATAATAAAGACCATCTTGAGAGTTTGTTTAGTGTATTGCAATGAAGGCTGGAGAAAGTGTTTTATAAAGTGTAAAATACCTTTAAGAAGGTGGCATTACTGGGCCTCCCTGGTGGCGCAAGGGGTTAAGCACCACACTATGAAGCAATCTGAAGCCTCTGTAGCACGAGTTCGATCCCTGGCCTGCCAGGGAGCAACCCACATGGCGAAGCAGACCTCTCCTGTCTCGCCCGCTACTCCCCTCAGCAGTGTCTTTAGGTTAGTCTGCCTGGTCTGTTCCCCACTCTCTCTGGTGAATCCTCTCACCCCTCAGACCTCTGGCCTGTACCCCAGCTCTTATATGCATAAATAAATAAATCTTAAAAAAAAAAGGTGACATTACTAACAGAACAGGTTGGAGATACGAGGCTAGGTGATTCTGATGTGAAACATACACATGGAAATGTGTGTAATTCAGAAACGTGGTCAGCGTCCCCTGTCTTTCATCATTCTTCTAAAACAAATGAACTTTTGAGTTCTTTTTACTCTGTGCACTTTCCAGAACCTTCTGTAATGAGCTAGAATTACTATTATAATCAGAAAAATACCACTTTCATAAGGTGTCGTTTCTGTTGGTTAGGGTTTCCTGTTGAGAGCACTTTAAAATCCTTATCTTGTTTGGGTTTTTCCTGGGCCCTGAGAGAAAGGCAGAGAAGGAATTCACTTCCTTGTGGGTAAAATGAGGAAATCACTCCCCTCGGGGTGCTGGGCAGCCAGCTACCTGTCGGCTCCTGGCACCGCTGGGCCCTCGCAGGGCCAGCCTCCCAGCACCCCGCCCAGAGTGGCCACTGCCAGCTGGTGTGGAAAATGCTGGTGCTTGCCAAACCAGGGCCCTAGAAAAATTCTACTTCTGGGAATCTGCCGTCAAGAAGTTGTCCTGATGCAGCCAAACTTCATGTGCAAATAGATTTAATGCAGTGATATTTTTCACAGCAAACGTTTAGAATGAATGTAAGTATTCAGCAGGAAGAAACTGGTTGAATGAATTTAGTCATCAAGCAGCGGACAATTTGTTGCCATTAAATGTGGTTCTGAAATATAGATTCGTGGCCTTTGGTGGTTACTGAATGAAGCAGGATACGCGGACAGAGGGGTATTGATGACATAAATCGAAATGGCCTGGGAGGAAATGTGCCAGTAGCTAAGCAGGCTTCCTCCTTTCGGTGGATTATGCACGGTTGTTTCCCTCCTTATTTAATCTCCATTGGCTGCGCTGCAAGTGTCAATTATTTAAGTAGTAGAAGTAAAGAGTAAAGTGCTGACGCCCTGGGGACCCCCCTCAAGCCCCTTCTCTGTACCTCTAGATGTTTTCTTTCTTTCTTTCTTTTAAAGATTTATTTATTTATGCATACAAGAGCTGGGGTACAGGCCACAGGTGTGTGTGTGTGTGTGTGTGTGTGTGTGTGTGTGTGTGTGTGTGAGTAGATTCACCAGAAACAGAGTAGGGAGCAAAACAGGCAGATGTACTGAAATACACTGCTGAGGGGAGCAGCCCATGAGACAGGAGAGGTCTGCTGTGCCATGTGGGCAGCTCCCTGGCCAGGGATCGTGCTTGCGCTGCAGAGGCTGCGGATTGCTACATAGTGCTGTGCTTAGTCCCTTGCGCCACCAGGGAGGTCTAGATGTTTTCTTTAAATCCACCATGTATTGCTTTTAAAACTGAGATGTGCAATCAGAAAAATTCTGGGGTGGGGGAGAAAACAAAACACAAGATTCAAAATGAATCTCAACATGAGAGAAAGGAGAAGCGTGGAGATCACGGAGGTCTGTCTGAGAGGGAAGAAGCTGGTCTCAGGGCCGCTGGATGCCTGCCAGGGTCACCTGGCCTCGGCGCCCAGCTCCTGGTGCCCAGCCCTCCTGGTTCCGGAAGGGGGTGGCTGCTGGGCTGGCGGGAGGCCAGGAGGATGCTCTGGCTAGGTGGGGTGGGCCTGGTGAGGAGCTTTCAGCCTGTTTGTTCTGGGTGTAGGAAGGTATCGGTGGAGAGAAACCTGGGTAGAAGGGACCAAAGTCTCTTTATTTATGGTCCTGGGGGAGTTAATGTGTAATATCCTAGGACAGAAGCCTGCAGGGGACACCCTGACTCCGCACAGGCTCCAGGAGCCACCGAAGCTGCCGCCGGAGCTGCCCCTATGTCGGTGAGGTGCCCGCTTCCCGCCCCCACCTCCCGTTCATCCTCATCTTCGCCTGAGTGGGGGTGGGCAGACGGGTCGGGGGTCCTGGGGAACAGCATGCTGCCCCTCTCCAGCCTGGGTGACCCCTCTGAATAGTGAGCAAGCTGGACAGATGTCCCTGCAGCCCTGGGGCTTCCAGGGTCTCAGCTGCCTCTGCCGCGGAGCCCGGCGGTGAGTGAACAGCGGCAACTGCTCACATCCATCGAGCTCCGTAAGGATAGAACTGAGGCTGGGGAGTCAGTCTGTCGACTGCAGGGGGGCAGGTGGATGCTCTTGGAGTCCTGGGACTGTGCCATAGCTTGCTGTGTGGCGTTGGACAAGTCACCGTCCTTTCCTGAGCCTCAGTCTCCCCCATTTGTGGGATTGGCTCACAGACGCCATCCTCGGGGCACAGATGCTGGGTTAGTCCCCATGGCCGCCCTGACACACGTGGTCTCTTAATTTTGGAGGCAAGAGCTCTGAGATCAAGGTGCAGGTTGCTCTCTGCTCTCTCGAAGGCTCCAGGGAAGGATCCGTTCTTGTCTCTTGCAGCTTCCGGTGGCTGCTGGTCATCCGGGCATTCCTTGGCTTATGGCCACATGGCCCCAGTCTCTGCCTCTGTCTGCACAGGGTCTTCTCCTCCACGAGTCTTTGTGTCACTATTTCTGGATCCAAATTTCCCTCTTATTGTTGGGGAGTTAACGTGTAATAGTCTACGATGCAGGGTTCACCCTAAACCAGTAGGTTACACGCAGGGTTTCTGGGTGGACGTGAGTTTGGGAGACATGGTCACGTCAGCGCAGGAGGCACGTAGGATGTGGATGTGACTGGAGGTCAAGTGCAGGCAGGATGGTGCTCTTCCCACCCTCTGTCTCTTCTGAGGGCTACTGTGGCCTAGATGGGTCCCCAACTTTCTCCTCTTGGCCATCTCACCCCTTTCTCTCCCCCCTCCTGCAAGGGCCACCCAGTCTATGATAGCTGGGGAAACTGAGGACCAGAAAGGGGTGCAGCTGGCCCCAGATCACTCAGCTAGTTAGAAGCACAATCGGGTTACGATCCCTGACCCCCACCCCTCCCAGCTTTGCCTCCCTGTCTCTTTCTGGGCCTCCAGCATCCTGGAGTGTGGGCAAGGATCCCAGACCTGCTTCTCCCACATCCCAGTTTGTCCAGGTGCACCCCAGACCCAGCATTTCCACAATCCCACCTCTGTCTTTGGGGGCTTGGGTTCTTCTATTTCAGCCAGGCAGCCCCCCGACGAGGCAGGGCTTGGATGGACACGTGGCTTTGGCGCTGGGATGAATAGTTTTGGATGGGCCACAATTTCGAGAAACAGTAATTTTTTTTATTAGTAAAATGAGTCCAAATGTGACTTGAGATTGACATATTCTTGTTTGGGGGGTTCTGGAAGGTTCTACTGTGACTTTGCCACTGGAACATGTTTGAGAAGTGTGAGGTCAGCAGGGACTGCTCTGCCCATTTCATAGATGGGGAAACTGAGGCTCCCCTGGCTGGACACTTGTCTCCACATCTGGCTGCTGCAGTCAAATGGGTGGATGAGAACAAAGTAGGAGGGACCAGAGGGTGCTCTGGAAAGCTCTTCTCAGAGGGCCCTGGTGCCTTCACCTCCCAACCTGGTGCCCTCGTGTGGGCAGGGGGAGGGTGAGCCCCGAAGCTAAGTGGACATGGAAGGAGCCTCATAAGGGGCTCCTGTGACTGATTTGTCCTGGAATGTATCTGTGTCCACACAGGGGAAATTTGAGATTACGAGTATGGACATAAGGCAGGGGATGAGCCTGAAGATCAAGGGCAAGATTACGGATAATGCTGACAGGTGAGCAAGGTGGGGAAGTGGGTACCCCACAACTCAGAAGCCCTGTTGTCAGGCGCCCTGAAGGTCTAATCCAAGCTCCAGCAGTGACCCCGCCAAGAAATCACAGAAACCACCCCCCCGCCCAGGCATACCTCCAGCAACAGGGACTCTGTTTATGGCCAAACTCGACCGGTCTTCAGATAACTCAAGAGAACAGTTCTCTCCCCAATTAGAGACCAGTTCCTGAAACTCTCTCTCAGTGGCCTACCTCCTGGTCACCTCAGTCTATACTCCAAATGGAATATGATACTTCAGTGCTAAGTGGGATTAGGTTGTCAACTCCTTTGTTTTAAGGTGCAGATCTCAATTAATACAATCTTTCTTTGGGGACTCTTCCACCTTGTGGTCAACCTAGACTGAGAAATTGGCTGTTTTGCCCAGGGTTGGCCCTTAATCCTCACCTGTCACCACTTCCCTTGCAGTTTTGTGATTAACCTGGGCCAGGGACCAGAAAAGCTGAACCTGCATTTCAGCCCACGTTTTCACGAGTCCACCATCGTCTGCAACACGCTGGATGGCAACTGGGGGCAGGAGCACAGGGACGATCACATGTGCTTCAGCCCAGGCATGGATGTCAAGGTGAGGCCAAAGAACAAAGGAGAGGGCATCAAGAAGAGTCCAGATGTTAGGGCGCCCTGGCCTAGAATGTGCCACACTGTGGGACCACTAGGCACGGTGTTGGCCCATTTCCACGGTGCCCCGACACCCTGACTCCTTCCCTCCCTCCACAGATCGCTGTGACCTTTGAGGATAACGAATTCAAGGTGAAGCTGCCAGATGGGCACCAGGTGACTTTTCCTAACAGGCTGGGCCACAGTCAGCTGAGCTATCTGTGTGTGAAGGGTGGGTTCAACGTTACCTCCTTCAAGCTTGAATAAGTGGGCGGCACCTCGAGGAGCTGAACTGACCACCCTGAGTCATGGATCGCAGCTCCTGGGGGTTCTGACTTGGCTCCCTCACCCCCAGTTCCTGCCCTCAGACCCCAGTGTCCTTCCCCAAGGCTGAAAACAAAGGTGGTTTGGTGGAGTCTGTGTGCCGGGAGCCGTGGTCTGTGTATCTGTGCTTTTGGGTGCTCCAGCCTCCTCGGCGCAGAGGGGACTGAGGTCCAAGGTCATAGGACTGCCAAGCAGGGTTTGGGACATGCTCCCAAATACCCCGAAGCACTCCCTCCTGTCCCCTCCTATCACCAGGGCAAGTAGCATGCTGCCCTACGGATGATGGGGCAAACATGGGGCTCCATGCACCTGGGCCCGGGGCTGAACCCGGAACTGCAGATAAGGGCTCCCACCTGGTGTCTTATCGCAAGGACATTCCAGCCTGGTTACTCATTACCCCCTGCCCCACCCCTCCCTCACCAGGGACCCTGGGTGGGGTTGGGGGAGTCCTTGGCTTTCCAAACCCAAAGCTGAGTACTGAAGCAGGTGGGGCTGGCCCTGTTAGCCCAGGTCCCCAAGCATCTTGCCTGATACCTTTTATCCAAAAGCCTTCTTTAATCAGGACCCAAGTCAGGTCTAGGGTACACAAGAAGGTGGGGTTTCTCCCCTGGGAGGTCACACCTGACCCTTCTCTGAGGCTTCTAGGACAAGTGAGGGATCAGGTAGGAATTTAGGGGACTCCCAAATTCCCAGGGACTCCACTGGGGCAGCTCCAGGATGAGCAGGGACAGTTGGGCCCCTTGGAAGACGAGACAAAGGCCCTGTGTGGCATGCTCCCCCTGGGCCATCTTCCCCAGCACAAAGGCTGCACTGTGAGGCTAGGGCCTCCAGCTGGTGGGGGTGGCCCAAGGTGGGGGAGGAGCTAAGGAATGGCCACTGGGTCCAGAATGGCCGTGGGGGTGGGCGGGTCGGCCTGCAGAGCACTCTGGGAACACCCCGGTCCCAGAACAAGTCTGGTCCCCCCTGGCCTCCCTCCCATGTCTGTCCTGCAGGCCCAGAGGTGTCTGGAGCAACTTGGGTGGTCCTTTGGCAGGACCCAGCTGCCAGGTGAGGGGCTGGTTCTGCAGCTGGGCTATTCATGGGTGGTGCCCTGATGGGGGCAGGGTCTGAGCCCAGGCCTGGCCACTCACACCTTGACCTCATCGTCCTCCTCGGCATCGGCAAACGCAAAGGTGTTTGCTTGCACTGTGCTGGGCACAGGGGCCCTGGTGCCTGTCTGGGGTGCTCCCCACTCTTCGTCCAGGCTCTCCCAAGAGGCCCGAGTCTGGGGCAACACCCTCACCAGCTCCTGCCGGGCATCCATCTCGTTGTAGTGGTGGCTGCCCCGGCTGCCCCCCCAGCCTGCTCCCCAGTGCCTGCCAGGGCCCATGTCAGCAGGAGCACGGGGAGACTCTCCTGCTGGCCTGGCCTTCGCCTCAGCCGCGGGGCCCAACCCAGCGCTTACTCCATTGGGGAAGTGTCCACGGGCTGGGGGGTTTGAGGCAGGGGCTGGGGTGTTCGCAGCAGAGGCTGGGGGGTTCGCAGCAGGAGCTGGGGTTGGGGCCTCAGCTGTGGAGGCTTCTGAGAGGCTCATGACCCCCAGCAGCTCACTGAGGAGAGAGGGCCCAAGGTCGAGGTCCAGGCGGAAGGACAGGAGGGAGTCTGAGCGGCGAAGCTGGGGCTCAGAGGGGAAGGAACTGTCACGGTCTCGGTCACGGGGCTTCTCCTGGCGAGGCAGGCGGGAGATGGTGCAGAAGCCCGAGTCCAGGCCTAGAAGAGCAAAGACATGGGGAGTGTGGTCAGAGTTGGCCATAACTAGGAATTAGGGGGGAGGGACCCCAGCTTGCTGTGTGGCCTCTAGCAAGTCATTCCTTGATCTGGCCTGAATCTCCTAAAATGAACTGACAGTCTCTTGCGTGACCCTCCCGCCAACCCTGGAAGGTGAAACTGGGCACAATCCTTTCCATTTTGCAGATGAAGAAAGTGAGACTCAGTCTGGAATGAGAGTGGCTTGTGGGGGCCAGAGTCTGATGGGGTAGAGCCAAGCCTGAAACTCGAATTTTCCAACTCTCAGTCTCAACAGTGACCTTGGTCATGGGCCCTGGTGTCTGGCATGACAGCAGTCGGGGCTTCAGACAAGCCCGCAGCACATGGGCAGCTCTGTGGGTTCAGCAGGCAGCGTCTGACTGCAGAGAAATCAGACTCTGAGGGCAGGGAGAGCCCACAAGAAGTGCCCTGGCCCAGCCCTTGGGCCCGGGCCGCAGGGGGGACCCGTCCTGGGTGGGCTTCTGAGGCACCAGACAGAAGCCCTGGAGGAAGCCTCCGTAGTGGGGCAAGGCCGCAGGGCAAAGGATGGCCACCAGGTGGCAGCAAGCATCTGGCTCTCAGGTGAGCTGTCCAGCAGCACCAGGGTGCCACCTGCGGCTCCCTGCCAGGCAGCTAGGGCCCCTGGCTTCTGTCCATGTGAGCAGCTTTCCAAATTTGTCAGGTTACAGGAAGCTCTGTTGAAATAACGACAACACAACAGCTCCTGTGTCTGAGCACCTGCTGCACAATGTGCTCTGGGCTGTGAACTTACAGGGGCCAACTGGCTCTCTGGAGATCAGGCAGAACCAGGATTTGAACCCAGGGCCGAGGCTCCACTCCACTCACAAGGGGCAAGAGGCAGTGAGCGGACCCAGCTGAGGGCTCAGAGGGGGTAGCAAGTTTGGGGTAGGGGGCATTCAAGCCCCACATCCTCACTTTTCAACCCCAGTGTGTCTTGGGGACTCAGCTGGTTCCTACAGCCGGCCCCCCTCCCACTCATGGCCCGACCTCCACCGCGAGGCCAGACTGCTGGGGACAAAGAGCTGATGAGGAGCCCTGGCTGGACCAGCGAGACCCCCGGACCTCAGCGTGTACCAGTGGCCCTCACCATAACTGGAGCGTCCGTCCGCACAGCCGTCCAGGCTGCTGTCGAAGCTGAGCTTGCCCACCACGAGGCTGTCGTAGGCGGCCTGGTTGAGCTGGGGCAGGGAGATGGCGTTCTTGATGATGGGGGAGATGGCGGGCGGAGCGGGCGAGGGTGCGGGCGGGGAAGCCATCCGCCGGGGTGGCGCCCCCACCCTTCGCACCTGCTGGAGCTTCCTGGCTAGAAAGCTTCGGGGTGAACGGTGGGTGCCCCCAGAGCTGCCCCCGTGGTTGCTGAGGAAGGAGGTGTCCCCGAAGACATCCCCGCCGCGGCCCACGTGCATAGTGTGGCGGAAGTCCCCAAGCGGGGGGCTGATCATGTCTGCGGTCAGCCGCCTCTTCCCCTGCGAGCCGGAGACCCAGCCCATGGGCGAGAGCTTGCCCAAGCTCATGGTGGGGGCTCCTGATGCCCCTTGGGGGCCTGGCATCAGCTCTGCTTGTTCACAGCTGTTGGTCCATGCCCACCTGGCGCTGGGGGCCGGGGTGGGCGGGCTCCGGACCCCTTCTCAGCTACCTCCTTCCGGTATGCGGAGGGATGGATGGTCGTGACTCCTCCTAAGGTGCTGCCCCCAAATGCTGAGGCTAAGAGGGGACCATGGCTTGTCTCTCCCTTCCTGAGAGACAAGGCTCCGGGCTGTCTCCGGGCTCTGCAGAAGCAGCCGTCAATGTTCTGCTCCAGAGCAGAGGAGGCCCAGCTGTGCCTCCAGTGGGGATGGCGCCTCTGCTGCCTGGGGGAGACCTGAAAGAAAGAGGAAAGCGATGCTAGGCTGGGGGGCGGTGTTCAAATAGGGCTGGAAATGAGGGTTGCCATTGACTTGCAACAGGTATGGCCTGGGAGGGGGTGCAGAAAATTCGTGGAGCTGCACACTGAATATGTGCATCAGTGAGTAGCGCAGCTGGTCAGGACACTAAGCGCCTACTAAGCGCCAGACATGTCCGTTTATTGCCCATGTAGCCACACCACAAGCCCTGATGGAGGCATTCTATTGGAGAGGAGAAACTGAGGCACACGGAAGAGCAGTGGCTTGCTGAAGCGATGCAGCCAGCCATGGGTTCCCAAACCTGGAGAACCTGAGCCCCAAGCTACACTGCCTCCTGCTGGTGTACTGAACACATAACCTCCCTTCTCCAAGAATTAATTCCTTCTACTGGGGCCTCTTCTGGGGCTTTAAACAGTCTGCCAGAGGTTCCCCAGAACCCGCCTTCAAGGGGCTTCCTGAAAAAAGGATCCTGTGGTCAAAAGTGGCTTTTTCCAGCTGCCTCCTGCACACTCTAGCACAGTCAAGGCTCTGAGAAGGCCTGCAGAGTTTGTCCAGTGGATAATGGAGGAGCCTGGTCATCAGGGAACAAGTTTTGGAAAAATGCTCGGTTGGGGTAAAAAGCTGGTCCTTGCCTATTCCCTCCCCTCCGGCTCCACTCCCACTGCTCCCCAAGGCCCAGCGTCTCTTGGACTGACCCCATCCCTTCTAGTGTCACACGAAGGCCAGGCCGGAGGGTGGAACCTCCAGTTTTCCAGGGGCCCAGAGATAGGGCCAAGCTTACTCGGGTCTCAGGGCAACAGCTAGTTGAGACTTGAACTCAGAGTCTCTGACTCATGGAGCCCAGCAGGACTCGTGGAGACCAGTTCGGTCTCCCCAGATGAGAGACACTCAGAGGGCGGGGCGCTCCTGGATTTGCCTACCTGCTGCCCTCCCTCCCGACACTGAGCTTTGGTCTGCACCGGGCAAATGTCAAATCAAAGCTGGTTTAATCACGGGAGAGCTCTGGGACAATCTTTAGGTCAAAGAAACCCCATCGTCAACTTCCAGGCGAGGGTAGTCAGAGGACTGGCCCCACAATGTGACCTTGGGAAGTCACGCACCTCCAGGGGCTTGGAACTTCAGTTGATAAAAGCTGATAAGGATCCTTGACAAGAACACCTAGATCTCAGTCTCAACTTAAAAAACAAACTGCTGCCACCTCCAAGCATAAAAATCTCAATACTGCCCTTTGAATGTGATTTGAAATTCAAAATAGGTTAAATAACAAGATAAAAACAAAGAAGGCGATAAGACAAAGCTTGCTTTGTATTCTGACTACATTCTCTTCCCTTCCCACCATCTGATCCTCCCCCAGCCCTAACTCCGCCCCCTGGGGGGGGTCTGATTCATTGCTTTCCCTGGCACCCCCCCCCCCCAAGAAGTCCTCTCCTCGTGGAGTGTTTGCTGAAGTTATGAAGCGCTCTGCAGTTGGCCAACCACTGCATGATGTCATCTGATCCTCTGACACCAGGCAGAGCTGGAGGGGAGAGCTGACGTGGAGGGAAGGGACTTGGCCAAGGTCAAGTGGCAGGTGCTGGAGCCTGCTCTGCAGAGGATGAAGGATACACCTCTGGGGGATAGGGAGACGTCTACTCTGAAATGTCCTGTGTCCACATCGTTGTCCCTCCCCAATGCCCTGGCTTCTTGAGGCAATCCTCACTCAACCCCTTCCTGGTCGCTTTGCCCAGAGACCAGCTTCCTCCTTATTTTGGCACAGTCCCATCTCCCCACCCCTCTGGAGATCCCCAGGGCTCTCTACTTTGCCCAGGACAGCAGAGACACCAGCTTCTCCTGGCGCCAAGCACCAGCACAAGGTAGTGCTGCTGGGGACCTGTTTCCTCTTGTGGAAAATGAGAATAGCATCAAAGGCTGGTACCCTCCCAGGAAGAGTTGTATGAGTGGCAGGTGTAATTAAACCCCCAGATCCGGGTCCTCCCTGGTGGCATAAGGGGTTAAGCACCGCACTGTGAAGCTATCCATAGCCTCTGCAGCACGAGTTCGATCCCCGGTCGGCCAGGGAGCAACCCACATGGCGCAGTAGACCTCTCCTGACTTGCCTGCTGCTCCCCTCAGCAGTGTATTTCAGATCTGCCTGTTCTGCTCCCCACTCTGTCTCTGGTGAATCCTCTCACCCCCTGCACGTCTGGCCTGTACCCCAGCTCTTGTATGCATAAATAAATAAATCTTTAAAAAAAAACAAAAACAAAAGACAACCCAGATCCCAGGGCAGGACCAAATCTAACATCCTTACATGGATGTGTCTCATTCTGGGGACCCATGGTGGCAGGTATTTGGCACTCTTGGTGATCAGGTGTGCCCCATGTGGCCCTGGAGTCTGCAGGGCTCCAGGCATGTGGGCACAAGGCCTAACTCCTCTCACCTGCCAGGAACACTACCTACAAATCCCCCCCACCGGTTACATATAGAAGCGAGAAAGAGACTGACTTGCCCTGGTCACGGAGCAAAAGCAAGTGCTGTGGCTGGGAAGCCCCCCAAGATTCTAACGTCAGAGGTTAACGATGGGGTCTGTAAGGGCGGGTCATGGGGGGATGTCTGAGGGGCAGCCCTGGGAGGCAGGAAGACTCAGGTGTGCAGATTCAGGGCCTGTGACCCGGATCACCACGAAGCCTCGGTGTCGCACGAGTCCTCATCTTTGCCCTATGGAGGACAGCCTGGGCACTTGGTGGGCCTTGCTCTCGGGTGGTGATGACGGCCCAGCGCAAGGTCTGAGGCCCCAGGCAGAGAACACTTCCAGGAGAGGCCAACAGGGGTCGCTGTGGGGGCCCATGAGGTGGGTGGGGGGAGTCAGGAGCCCTTTGACTAGGGAGGCCAGAGTTGGGGGGCCTGGGTTCCGCACTCTGGCACTCACCTGGGGTGACCGCGAGCATCTGTGCACCTCACCACTCTCATCTGGAGGCTGCTTTCATGGGCACAGCCCACCGCCCCGCCTCTGCACAGCAGGACCTGGTCTTGGTTGGCGCCGCAGCAGCCTCTGGAGGAAGGGCCTGGGGACCGGCTTCTGGAGCCCCTCAAAGCCCAGCAGCTTTGGGAAACCGCCTAGAAAGGGCCAGCGAGCTCTCTGCAGCGGCGCCTGGGAGCCACTTTCCCCCACTCTCTCCAAGAAGGGTGTTAGGGCGCACCGTGGGTCTAGGGACCGAAGAGGGGGAGCCACGCTTTTTAAAGCCTCACCGCCCCAAGTCAGGGCCAGCCAGCGCCCCTCAGCTCCCGGCTCGCCCGGGCAGAGCGGCTTCAAGCGAGCACCCCGGCACCGGGTTCCACTGCGCCCCGCCCTGCGAGCCGCGCGGGCCCGGGCCGGCCCCCCTTCTTCTCCCTGCGCCTCAGTTTCCTCGTCTAGAAAATGGGCTGCGGCCTGCGCGGCTCCTGCGCCTTCGGACAGGCGAGGCCAGACGGGCTCGAGGCGCTCGGGATTGGAAATTCGGGAAGGATTTACGCCGAGAACCTCCGGGGGCGGGGGGGCGCGGAGGGTCCCCCGCGGGAGGCGCGGGCAGCGGCCGCGGCCCGAAGGCACCGGACGGGATGACCTCAGCGCCGCGGGCTGGCAGGCGCGGCCGGGGAGGGGGCAGGGTGCCGGCCGGGCTCCCCAGGCCCCCCACCCCCCACTTCCCGCTCTCCGCGCCAGCCTCGCCAAGGGGCCCGACATTCCGGCGCAGCGCCCCCTCCCCGCGCCTTCCCTTCCGCGCCCGGGCAGGAAGGCGCGCGGCCGGCCCCCCGCCGCCCCTTCCTCCCGCAGCCGGGGCTCCCGCGCGCCCCTCCATTTCTCTGCGCCCCCGGCGCGCCCGGGGCACCACCAGCAAGCCGAGGACTCGGGGCGTCCCGCGCCCTCCCGCGGCCGGCGCTTCGGCCTTCCCGCGGCGCCGGCGGGCGTCGGGGCGCCCCGCTCCGTGCCGAGTCCTCGCGGGCGCGGTCGGCTCCCCTCGCCGGCGCGCCCACCCGGGCCTCGGGAGCCGCGCTGGGCTCGCTGTTACCTTCTCTCCGGGCGCCCCGGGCGGGGCGAGGCGCGGACGCGGTGGCACAGGCGGCGCGGCGCGTCCCGGCGCGCACCCCGGCGAGTCGCTGGGCCGGTCTGCGCCGCCCTGGCCGCGGGCTCCGCGGCTGGCTCCGGGGGCGGGGGCGGGGTGTGGGCGCGCGCCCTCCCCCCGCTGTCTCCTCCCGCCCGCGGGCGGGGCCGGGCCCCCCTCCCGGGCACACGTCGAGACGCCGCGAGCCGCGGCCGGAGCTGGAGGGGGAGCGGCGGGGCGCCCGGCCCGGGGGAAGCCGGGGAACGCGCGGGCTGCCCGGGCCGGCGACGCGGGTCCTCGGCTGCCCACTCTTCCCCCACCGACTCCCCGCTCGGTGTTGGGGACCCCTAGATGGATACGGCTGGCTCCTGAGCTCCCTAACTGCTCTCCGCGGGAGTTTGGGTATCCAGGAAGCCGGATCTCAGAGGTCTCCAGTGCTGAGAGGCTCAGACCTCGAGTTCTGTGAGCTGGGACGCCCACCCTCTTCCTCCCAAGCCCCTCATTCCTTTCAACCCTTTACAGGCCTCCTGGGTGCCAGGGCACAGACCTGAGCCACGCTGGGGTGCAGGCCATGGCAGACCCCTTGTAGCATGCCGTGGTGCCATGGTCAAGGCCGTGGAGGCTAGAGCCCAAATGCCGGGGTTCCTATCCTGCCCTAACCACTACTTAGTCTTTCTGTGCCTCAGTTTCTCTACCTGTAAAATGGAACAATAACAACACGCATCAGATGTTGTTTGTTTTTTTTTTTTTAAAGATTTATTTATTTATGCATACAAGAGCTGGGGTGCAGGTCAGAGGTGTGGGGGTGAGAGAACTCACCAAAGACAGAGTGGGGAGCAGAACAGGCAGATGCACGGAAATCCACTGCTGAGGGGAGCAGCGGGCGAGACAGGAGAGGTCTGCGGCACCATGTAGGCCATCTCCCTGGCTAGGGGTGGAACTCTGTGCTGCAGTGGCTACAGATAGCTTCATGGGGGTAAGATTGGGGGGCAGCAGGCAGTGAGATCAGATGCACTTTTGGAAGCTCTTGCTGTAAATAAACCAAGTATGGATGGTGGGATGGGGCGGAGGCAGGGACTGGTGGTAAGTGGTGATTATCATTCATGGCAGAATTTATTGAGCAGCCAGTGCACACACATGCTCCTTGCGTTATCTCACTTAATCTGCAGAGTCCCACTGGGGCAGGACTGCCTTGGTGTCCCTTCTGCAGAGAAATGAAGAGAGTTGCTCAAAGACCACACTTGCCAGTCTGCACAGGACAGTCCCAGGTTACTCCTACTGCCCTGGCATATTTATTATTTCTTTCACTCTCAGGGGTGACCCGATTAGACAATGAATTCATGTCACTCTAGGCAGAGGGTCCCCAGAGCAGCTAGCAAAAGAAGCAGTTTGGTGCGATGTCAAAGGCCATACACCTAAATCCCGTTTCCATTGGTTTCTTGGCCTCACTGAGCCTCAAGTTTCTTGTCTATAAAATGGGTATTGTAAATGAGCAGATATTTATCACCTGCAGGTATTTCCTACCTATTGCAAATCCAGAGAGATGGTGAAGAACACAGTCTTAATGGAAAAGATTATGATGATCCTGCTGGGCTGGGGATTTTGTCTCAGCCAGCTCATTGTCAGGCTACCCGTGAGTCAGGAATTCTTTGCCCCATTCGACAGCTGGGTAAACTGAGGCTGAGAGCCCTCCCCCCTCATTCACAGCCCCTCTCCAGATAGAGATCCCTTTCAGGTAGGCTGCACGCCTGTTCCTAGCTGCACTTCTGACGTAAGGATCCAACTCAGATGTTCTTTCTGGAAAGGGGGAAAAAAACAGGCATCCAGGCGAAGGATCCCCTGTGTCCCGTCCTTTTCCCCTCTCCCAATTTTTTGGGGTCCCCTCCTTCCCCTCTCAAGGGGCTGTGTCCAGGAACGCAGGGGTTAACCCTGACAGAGCTGTAATCACCGTGTAGAATGCAGAACCAATGCCTCCCAGCTGGGGATTTGAGCTGCTAGGTCAGACTGGCTGCCTGGAGTTCAGGATCCCCCTTGGCTCCCCTGTCCTGAAGGAACCAGGCCCCTTGGCTGTAATCACAGAGCTCAGCTGCCCCCTCAACTCACTCCTGCAGATTGGGTGGGCTGAGGCCTGGGGCTTATGGGAAAGAGGCAGTTCTGGACAGGGAATCCTCTGTGCAGCTAGGGCAGAGGGGCTGGGCACACAGAGAGGGCTACTCCCCCGTGGAGACCCAGGAATGTCCGTGGCTGCTCACCAAGCTCCAGTGCAGTTTGAGCCGAGCTGGCTTGGCCACATCTAGCAGCTCCCATCCCAGCTCCTCCCTGGGGTCAGGCACCCTTTCCTTCCCATCTGCTGCTTGGTCCTCCCAGTACTCCATTTCTAAGTGTCCCCCAGCCCATCCACAGATGCAGTTGCCAATCCATCCATGTGCTCTTGGCCCCCTCCTGGCTATCCAGCTGCCCACCCCTCCCCCCATCCATCTACCCATCCATGACCTGTACCCATCTGACACCTAACCACGGAGCCAGACCTCACGTCACCCACTGCTAGCGCCCCTGTCCATCCATCCACCCATCCACCCACCCACCATGCTTCCTTCTACCCCTAGTCAATTACCCCACCTCCTGCATCCACCCACCTCCTCTCTCCACCTCTCACCCTTGAACCAGTGCCTATACCTGCACCCACATGTCCCTCTGTGCATTCAACTGCTCACCGCCCCCGGCCCCGCCCATGATGCTCCTACATGGCCCGACACCAGCCTCTGTGATCGACAGGGGTCTCTGAGTGTCCTCTTTCTCTCCTGCACACACCGCTCTCGCCTTCACCAGTGCATCGGCCTTGGGCAAAACATCCTTGAAGTCTGCTTTAAAGTGTCCCCTCCTCCTGGAGGCCCTGTTTCAGAGTGAGCCTCTCCTGGGTGCTGTCCATCCTCCCTATTGGCCTTATGAGATCCCCAGGACAGGGATGTTTGTGCTCCTGACACATTGTGGGATGAATGTTCCCCGCCGGCATAGCAAAGGGGCCTTGTCTTCCCAACTGAACTGCATCCATTATGAAAGCAGGTTGCTCCCCTCCTGGGTGCTCCTGGGATGCTGTCCATGGGCATTGCAGGGGGTGGCTGCACTGTTGGGTTCTGTAAGAAGTTTGTGATGAGGATAGTCCCCCAACTAGGGGACGCTGGCAAGAGGAGGCGGCATCCTCTGTGACCCAGCAAGTCAGACAAACTTAAGTTCAAATCCTGGTTTTGCCTCCTGTTAGCAGAGCGACCTGGACAATGCAGCTTCCTTGCCTGACCCTCAGCTGCATCATCTGCGATGAGCATCAAGTTCACAGCCTGACCTGTAATTAATGGTCAAGGAAGGTAGCTATTAATAGTGCCATTGTTACCATTTTCCTTTCCCCAGTGGGCCATTTCGTTTGACACACATAAAGTAGGTGCCTGCCGTGGGCCAGGTCCTGGGCTAGGCGCCCTGGGTGGAGTCAGGGGTGGGTAAGGAATGCGGTCCCACTCTCAAGAGACTTGCAGTCTGGTGGGGAAGACAGACCAAGAAATTGATGGAGGGGACTCCCTGGTGGTGCAAGGGGTTAAGACACAACCTACGAAGCTATCCACAGCCACGGCAGCACGAGTTCAATCAGGGAACTACCCACATGGCGCAGCAGACCTCTCCTGGCTCGCCCGCTGCTCCCCTCAGCAGTGTGTTTCAGTCAATCTGCCTGTTCTGCTGCCCACTCTGTCTCTTGTGAATCCCCTCACCCCCTGCATCTCTGACTTGTACCCAAGTTCTTGTACGCATAAATAAATAAATATTTAAAAAATTTTTCTCAAAAAAAAAAAAAATTGATGGGGACAAAGAGCCAAAATGGTAGAAGGGGTCAGGGGAAGCAGAGACTGACTGAGATGATCTAGGCGGGCTTCCTGAAGGAGGTGGATTTTGAGCTGGCCCTGTGTCTTGGGGTATGCTTGCTCATAGGTGGAACTGGGGAGAGACCAGGCATCGGGGTGGTAGAAGATGAGCAGGGAAGAACCTCCTTTGGAGGATGGGAGGGAAGCCCTGGTGCAGAGCTGATTGGGAGGGGTGTGGCGTGGGCTAGGCCGGCCGCCCTCAGGGACCACAGAGCCTGGGGCCCCTTGGGATGCTTGATGGGGTTTCCTCGTTAGCAGAGGCCAGGCAGGGCAGCACTTGGCCTAAAATGTTTTTCCTCCTTGCTGCCCTTGACGACAGGACTGTGTTCTGAGGCAGCCGGGGGACGGGTCCTCCTGGAAAAGACCTGCAGCCCTCTGTCCCCTCCTCCGACCCCAGAGCCCCAGGAATCAGCACTTGGTGGGGAATCTCAGAGCTTCAGAAGGTCCTGGGGCCACTGAGGCTCAGAGAGGGTAGCATTGACAAGAACTACACAGCGAGCCTGCTGTGCAGCTGGGAGTCCTGGGGCGGGAGAGCTACCACACTTGCCATGGCTGCCTTCAGTCAGGGGAAGCATCTGCTGCATGCCTACTGTGTGCCAGCTCCCGGTCAGGACAAAACCATTAAGGCACACACTTGGCAAGGCTTCCAGGCAGCCTGCCTGGAGGAGGTGGAACCAGGCTCTACGCAGATGTGTGAAGCTAAGCAAACCGGCTGGGTATACAAAGTGTGTGTCTGGCACTGATGCCTGCATGATGGGGTGTCAGCCAGAGTGATGACTGAGATGCTGGCGACTCAGGACCTGGCCTGGGCTGGCAGGAGGCCCAGGGGGTGGGAGGGTTGAGCGATGGCAGATTCATCCCTGCTGTCCTGTTTCTTGGGGTGATGCCTGGGTGTGCAGGGGTTATTGGGAGCAGTAGGGTGAGGATGGGAGTTAATCCCAAGGGTATTTTAGAGGGCGTGGCTGAGAGGCCCACTGGGAGAACATGGCTCCTGGAGGCAGGCAGCTGTCAGGGCCGGAAACGCCTCTGGAATTCCAGGCTCTGGGAAAAAGCCTGGCCTAATGGAAGAGTTTTCTCAGCCAGAGCCTTCCAGGCCAACTCAGCTGTGGTT